AGGCACATGCAATTGTAAAGACAAACATTTAGTTTCATATTTTTATTTAAAATTTGTAACATTAAATTATACCTTAAACTTAAAGCAGTATCTAAATAATTATTTTAAACTTATATATATATATATATATAAATATATTATATAATATAGTACAAATAGATATAATTATGACTAGATTTGTGTTATGACAAGAATCAATATTTTTCTTATTTACAATCTAAAATGTTTTAATTTTATTTTTACAACTATAAATATTGTTTTTAATGTGAACAATACAATTATTTTAATATGTCGTTTCATTTTGTGTTAATTCAGATTATACTAACTGCCTAGTAAATTTGCACAGTTGAGCAATTTTTTTATGTGGTATAGAGGAACTATAGTTAAGGAAAATGTTTGTCTGTTTCAAAAATAAATATCACAGCCAATTTGTACTCACCAAACTTTAGGCTGTATTTTTGGAACTTTAACTCAAGAGACTTAAACTCAAAACTAATCACCGATTAAATTAGAACTGGCAGTGAATGAAATAAAGCATTAAAAAAAATGTTTAAATTAAAATAAGTATTTACATTTTAAATATCTGTGTTTTTATTTTTAAGGTTCATACTCTATGTATGCAATTATGTAAAAAATAAAATAAATTTTTTATTACATTGAAAAAACTAAATTTATTATAACAATAATTTATTGTATCAGTGTCCACCTCCTCTCCAACCAACTATTTCGTACTTTATTCTTTCGGATAAACTGAAAACAGAATCGTACGTATTGCGCAAACGTCTTGACACAATATTATAATAATAATTATAATATTTGCCAATAATGATGATTGCAAACTCGGTCAAAAAAATCACAGACACAATAAATGTATGTACATATATTATATAATAATAATATATCATCGTATAAATAATTAAATACAAACGAGGTGAGGGAAACAAAAAATAATAATAATAATAATGAATATGAAAAAAACGAACAAAATTGGACAGTACGAATAGATTTTTACATGTGGAAGAATAAAAATATGTAGGTATAGATCAGCAACGGGATGACGGCGCCCACACTACCAGTTTAATAATAATACCATGACGTGTTCCTCGGCCACAACTTCGGACTTACTCGCACATCGTATCCGTCGCACCACATACACACACACACATACATATATAACATATATATATATATAGGAAGACGGAGTGTGTAGATCGGTTTGCTCAACAGGGATGGCTCAAGTTGTACATGACCGCAAACAGCGTACAAATGGCGTACACGCCGAGCGCGAACCACCATATCAACTGCTCGTGGAGCTTTTGCTCGAAGTTTTTCAACACTAGCAGACCAATGGTGAGACCAGCCAGCGCGCCGGCTATGTGAGCAACGTAGCTGACAGGCGGAGCGTTCGACGATGGTTCGAAGGCGTAACGGCAGTACACGGCGAAGCCGACGTCCACGCTGGCTGTGAAGACACATGAAAAAAAATAAATAAAAGGACATCGGTTAGGTATGTAATATTGAAAGACCGAAGCAGAGTCGGCTGTTGGTAACTTATCAACTGCAGTGTACATTGCATTTAGGTAGCTACTTAGCATTAATAGTAGTAAAAGTTATATAAAAGTTAGCAATAATATATATTATTGAATATTATATTGAGGTCCCCACAAACAGCAGCCGTGACGGTGGAAGTAACGATAAAATGAGCCCCGACACAATTTACTGCTGCAGYGTGCAAGGACGTTTATATTTTATGTCTACAGTTATCGGGCTTTATATTATATATGATACTAACGGTGAAGTTGTAGGGACATGCCATTATTTTATTTTTATTTCGTTCTTATAAAAAGTTAAACTATTTTTTTTTAAAATCTATATTTTAAGTGAAACTGTTTTATTGATTTAATAATTAATTCATTCGTAAAATTTGGTTCCAGAAAAATTCATAAATATTCTCTTTTAAAATATGTACACGCTCAACCATCGTTATACACTTATACTGCTTATACACAACAGTTTTTTTGCCCATCGACTTAAAATAAAAATCTGATTTTATATTTTTATCCACATTGACTGTATTACATATTACAGATAACTTACCGATAAACAGTATGCCAAGCAACCGAAACACACCAAATTCCATGTTATTGTAATTCTAAAAAAAAAAAAAACACTTAGATTTATTTGACGTAAAAATTTCCAAATAAAAAATAGCCGAAAATGCCGAGTTTGTATATTTATTTACGCAAAAGGATTTTCAAATTATTGTTATWCGTGTTCACATCGACATGATCCTTTTTATTTTAATATAATATTAAACTATTTATTTAGACTAAAAATAAAATGAAAACATTTATTCCTTCTTTCAAGTTATACTTTTTTTCTTTTTTTCAACATATTTATTGAATTTGTACAATCTGTAAGAGAAATTTACAATAAGGACAATGGAGGGGTATATAATAGGCCCTTGTTGGCTTGAATGAAGAAGCTATTTTAAAAATAGCACTTCATGGCGGGATAGTAGTGATTAGTGCACTAGTTAATTAGTCTACTAACAGATTACAGCACTAGCTACGCTTTTAACGTCGGCCAGGGTCACCCGGGATTGTTCAAAAGGAGGGGTTTTGGTTATTTGAAAATTTGAGGTGGAAACGTTTGTAAAGAGTTTTGGTGACGTTTTTAACTGTCGGAATGAGGAGGTCCCTGCATGTGGAGGGTATATCATTCGACACATAAAAAGGGGCTTTAGTTATCTGCCGGAGGCATTTAGATTCAAGTTGAACTTAAATTATGTCTATCATATAGGTAGAAAAAGAGGTGATTTAAAATGTATGACATCTGATAAAATATTATATTA